TCGGCGTGGGTTGCATGAGCAATGTGGATTGTGGCAATCCAACCTTCGAGTGTGTGCAGTCAGTTTGCGTGCCCGTAATCAAACTACCAGGACCAAAGTCACTAATGATCTGTCGAGATGGCGTTTGTCCTCTTCCATTTGTATGTATTAACAATTTCTGTGTGAGCATCACAACACAACCACAGCCAGGTAATATCCCATTGACACCACAGCCATATAATATTCCAATGGCATGCCACGAAGGAACATGTCCGAAACCGTTCAAATGCATCAACAACCTCTGTTTGATCGGCGTGGGATGCATGAACAATATGGATTGTGGCAACCCAATCTTCGAGTGCGTGCAGTCAATTTGCATCCCCATAATTAGACTATCGGGCTCAATTCCTCTACTCTTTTGCCAAAATGGGGAGTGCCCTCTTCCGTATTCATGTCTTAAGAACTATTGCGTAGCTGTTTTATCTAATCCGCAATGCACCACCAATACACATTGTAATGACCCAGATTATATATGTGTTCATTCAACTTGTATTCATAGAAGTCACTTGATACACGTACCTGCGATATGCACAAATTATACGTATTGCACTGACTCGTCGTGCGCAGACTTCCAGATGTGTGTGAATGAAAGTTGCCCACAGAACTTTGACTGCTACAGCAACTTATGTCTGCCATCTAATCAATACTGCGAAATTGAGGAGGACTGCCCGTATGCACATCTGCAATGCATAAGCTCAAAGTGCACATATATCCCCAAACCTAAGACAATAGGAGAATTTTGTGAGTTAGATAAGCAATGTTCTGGTTTCCCACAACGTGTTTGTATCAATGGGCTGTGCAAAACAGTTGGGCAAATTTGCAAAAGGGATATGGACTGCCCTGAAGGGCTTCGATGTTTTGTTGGAAGATGTGATAAACAAGAATGTTATAAGGGGTCACAATGCCCTTCAAGGCCTGATGTCGGTTGCGTTGCTGGACAATGTAGGTATCTTCAGTTATGCAACTGCAGGGGAAAGTGCGCTCCCAATCTCGCATGCCTGAGAGGGTACTGCCAAGACATGCAGTACGTTGAGGAGGTAAGCGACATGAACCGCGACTTCAGAAATTGGAATTCTACACTAACCTCGCGGCAAATTCCTGTTTTAAGTTGACGCGGCTTTTTTAGGCAGTCGT